TGCCATTTTCTCAGTCTTCATGGTGGATTTTTCTAGGCCAGCAATTTTCTCTTCTGCATCTGAGATTCTATTTTCTGTATGATCTAGTCTGCTTTTAATACTTTCAAGGGAGATTTTGACTTCCTGTATTATAGACTTCATTTCTAACAGTCCCGTTTGACTCTTTTGTAAAGCGTGTAATTCCTCTTTTAGATCTTGCAAGTATTTCCTCACCTCCTGGAACTCGTCAACTTCTTTCTCCTTTCTCTTTAGCAGTTCATTGTCTCTCTTCTCTTCCATCTCTGTTAGCTTCACCATTATGATTGTTCTAAATTCTTTATCAGACATTTCATGATTTGCATTGAACTGGTTGTGGATGAAGAGGAGTTATTCTTTTCCCTTGGAGGAGAGGTATTTTCTTGATTTCCTATATTTCTTGTGGTCCTGCGGTGATTTCTTGTCACCTGATGGATGGTGTTTTTCTTTCAAATTCTTGAAGTTCAATCTGAGTGTTCAGAAGCAAGCAGAAAGAGGTGATCTGGAATCTCTTTGCTGTTCTGTTGTCATCGCTGGTGCAGCAGGTTCAGTAGATGTTGAGGAATATGTTAACCCTAATAGTATTTCAATATTTAGCTACAGTGCCCTTAGATCCACCTAGAAACACATTAAATGGATATTGAAGAGTGGAGAGAAAAGAAAAAAGAAAATGAGAGAGAGAAACAACAACAAAGAAAGAGAAAAAAAAAGACAACCCCCCCGCAAAAATTGTAATTATTGTTTTTCTTAAAAAACAACAACAACAAAAAGGATTTAAAAACCCCAAAAATAGAAAATCGTGCGGTGTGCTAGCGTGCCACCGCACAAAATGACTAGTTAGCAGGAGCCATGAGGAATCCTCTTCTGAAGGCCTCAACTCTCCTGCCTGGACGGAAGGACCAGAGGGGATTATTAACAAAACAAAAGGTGGAGCTGGGAGCAAGAGAAAAACTTTACCTTTAAAAAAAAACGACCAAAGGAAAAATTCCAAAAAAATGGGAGGACAGAAGCAGGGAGAGACAAGGCAAAGAGACAGAAGGCCAGAGGGGCTCCCTACCACACTAGCTTTGTTTGCTGGACGCTAAATTATTGGTAGAAAATCTTCATTTTTCCTGTCCCCTGCAATGACTAGTTAGCAGGAGCCATGAGGAATCCTCTTCTTGGTGTTGCATGTTTTAATTGTAAAAGTAATGTAGAATGATGACAGATAATTTGAGAAATACAGATGTTCACACATGCACACATGAGAAAAGAAAAATTGTTAATAGTTCCATGGCTGGAAATAATCATTATTATTTTGACAGATACGTAAAACATTAGATATATTCTTTCTCCACATCATTGTATTGTGAATGTTCTCCCAATATTTTTTGTTGTTGTTGTTATTGTAGGGCATGTGTTTTCACCAGAGAGAGACAGAGAGGGAGAGAGAGATCTCACCCCCTGAGGGGATGGTCATGCAACTACCCCTTCTCCATTGTCCTCGTGAGATTTTAGTCATGTCTGCACACATGCCTGGTGTGTTTTTGAAGCTACCAGGTCCAGGACTTGAACTGCAGATTCAGCTATGTGAAATTTAATACCTTCACCATGGCACCTGCTGGCCCCATTTCCAATGTTTTTATAGAACATTTCATTCTTTTTTAATGATCAAGGAGTGTTCTACTGCATGCATATTCCTGAATTTAACCAGACCTTTATAAAAAAGGCCTCCCTTTGGCTGGCCCTATATCCCGATGGTCTAAGATGGATCCCATATGGCTGACAGTAGCTCAAATCCTGGACCCAGCAACTTGAAAAACATGCCAGTCTGTGTTTGCCTGCCCCAGGTCCCTATAGGATGGAAAATGGAGGAGGGATGACGGAATGAGGGTGCCCCATTGAGGGGTGCTTTTTCCTTCTCTCTCTCTGGCAAGTGCATGCACCCTCTGGCAATTTAAAAACAAGGAAGGCCTCATGGAATGTCCTAATAGCTAACTCTTCGCACACAATCAAGTTAATTTCCATGGGAAAGAGCTTCAAAACAAATGACTGGTCCTCCTAGCTTGGGTTCCACTGGGTGAAGATTCAGGGGCTTGGAGATTATTTGGGAAGGAGGCAAAGCACTGGTAGGGGAGTAGGGGAGTGAGAAAGGTGAAACTTGCAACCAGGTACAGGTTCTCTTATGGGCAACTGAGGCTGGATCCGCTGGGTCACTCTGGGGCCAGGAAAGCAGCTAGATCATTCCACCTGAGGCTGTTGGTATTGGAGCCCGTTGGTATTTGAGCCCATGCCCGTCAGTGATGGGCTGAGATCAGCTATAAGTGCTATTAATTTCCTTGCACATCCAGGTGTCATAAAAAGGGTCTTAAAAAGACAGAGGGAGTCAGCAGACGGCACAGCAGTTACGTCACTGGACTCCCACATGGCCCACCGCCGTTGAAGTTCTGTACCCTGTGGCTTGAAAACTATGTCTGAGTATCTGTGCTTGCATGCCCAAGATCCCAGGAGAAGACTGGAGAAGGGACTGTGGTGTGACTATCCCTCCCGGGTGGTGGTGATTCCTCACTTTCCCTCTCTGTCTCCTGCTCACTCCTGCAAACGACCCTAAGCAAAAAACCTAAAAAGTCAGAAAGAGATATGCAGGTATGGTGTTGAGGGTGAGCCCAAGGACTGATGAATCAAGGAGGGGATGAAGGTGAGGTCTTGCAGGCACTACCACCCTGGACCCATGGCTTAAGATGTTCCCAAACTGCATCTGGAGGGTTACCATCAGTGTGAGGGTTAGGAGCTCAGTCGCCCTTCAGGATAAATTACTCTTCGATGAAGAAAAT